TTTAGACCAAAAGTCCCGAATGCTCCATCTGTCATCTATTTCATTGAAGACAAGACAGCAAGAGTGAGGAGCAACAATCCTTTTAATTCAGTTTATTCTCTAGTTCTGCACTTCCAGTGATGGAAACTCCCAGATCTCCATTCAATACTACATCTGACAGTGATCTTTACAGCATCACAGCCGAGCCAAACTATTACAATCGAAGCAGGATGAATAACTATTACACTGAATTCACTGTCCCTGCTTCAATCATTGCTAGCATTGAAATTCCCATGATCTGTTTGGCTATTTATGCTGTTTATTCTCTCATCAAATCTAAACAAGCTGCTCCAGTTTTTGTCATAAATCTACTCATTTCAGATCTCATACAGATTGTTTGCACATTGCTACTTAACGCTAGCTTGCTCTTTAGTTACATAATAATTTGGGCAGGTTCCATAGGTTTGTATTTCATGACATGTATAGCCGTAGAGAGATACGTTCTGATCGCTCATCCTGTTTGGCACAGGTCTCATCGCTCAGTCAAATGTTTTGTGTGTACTTCATTGACCGGTTGGCTTATACCTTTTATTGTTTGTCTAGTTTGCTTTTTCATAAATGAACTGGTGTATATAATGCCCTTCATCCCCTATCTAGTGATCATTGTGTGTTTTGTAGGCACATGCAGGTCTCTCTCTCACTCAATCTCTCTCACTCCTGTAAAGCAGCAGTTAGCTCTGGCTCCTCTGTTCTTTGTGGTGATCAGTTACACCTTTCTAATCCTCCCCTTGCAAATTTGTATTTTTCTGCTTCTACATGAGCACGAATTCCCACTTAGTCTGTTTATCTTTACTTTTATTCTTTATCTGTTAAACCCGCTTGTGGACTGTTTGCTGTATGTGTTCATGAGGAGCGACATTGAGAAAATCATCAGGATGCCTCACTGCTGCTCCAGACTGAAGAGAGTCCAGACTGAAACGGGACAGACCACATCTACTGATGTACAGTGTGATCATGTGTGAGAGATTCACACCAGACTGCTGATGTCAGGGATTCATTCATGAATGTACAGTAAAAGTTCTCAAATAACTAATTACAGCAAGTTTAACTGGATGAAATGTGCATGACTCGAGTGTTCATCTTGTAATGAGATTCAATAAAACAAATGATGCATGTCCTGTGCTGTTGTGCTTTATGTCTGTACATAAACTACTATTTGTCATGGAATTATATGTCAGTATGGTTATAATACTGTACTTGTACTTGGAAATGATCTGGTCATATTGATCTTTAGAAAGTTGTGAAATGCTATTGTCACATTTTACTGAGAGAGAAATAAAGAAAGCCACAATTTCTTCTCCCAGACTTCTTCAGTAACTGTCAATTATAGAGGTGCAAGATATTTCAGGATTATATCGGTTGATTAACTATTCCGAGATCTTTCCATCAATATATATGTCAGCACATTTACCTGGTTGGAGTCCTTGAACTAAAATTTAGATATTTCTAAACAGATTAAACAGATCTGATATATTAAAATAAACAGAAAAGAAATAGTATTTTAATAATAATAAATAACATTATGATCCTGATAGATACAGTATTTTTGATTTATGAGCCAATTTAGACTGCTGTGACTGACTAACCAGAATTTCAAAGCATTGCATTAAGGCCCGATTTCACAATACTCATAAAAATAGAATGATTTTTATTAAAACTTTATAGTTACAGTTATTGTCCTTTGTGGATTCTGCATATGAGAGCTGCTGCGGGTATAGCCAAGAAATCTACATAAATCCAGAGAAAATCTATCCATTTTTCCATGGTTTGTCTCCTACTAATATTAAATACTGATACATGTTAAGTAATGGAACAAAATAGCATGATTCCTGATACATTTATAGATTTGTTTTTAAAGGAAGAACAAATGATTCTCCCAGAAACAGCAGATAAAGATATCTTTCTGTTCTTCATTTTCTATCCATCAGTGTGTTCATTAACATGTCAACTGTGGCATCACATTAGTGGTTTTAAATGGATGAAATAGAAGTCAGACCTCATCATCTATTAAAAATAAAAGCTGTTTATTGGGAATCATTTTTCTAGTTTTACTGAACAACACCCATATGTTTTAAATGTGGGAAACTTTCCCAAATTTCACGTGACGTTTTTACAAGTCAGTCAGATTCTAAAAGAAGGGCTTGATTCAGCAATGATCATCGAACAAGAACAAGACCCAGAAATATGAAGGTGTTTCAGTACATGTGCAAGAGCCTTTGCAAGCTAGTAATTTGCCATCCAAACTTTATGTTCCAGAGTCCTTACCGTTCATGTTGTTCTGTATAATAATCTCCTCTTAAATATTATGATTTATACAAATACTGAAATGTGTTCAGCTTTTTCTTTTTAGATAAAGAGGAACATTGGATAATAAGAAGGACTTATTCAACTGTATTAAGCTGCAAACAAGATGTATTTTGAGTAAAATTAGGAATTATTTTAGAATATTGTCTACACATGTTGATTTGATAATAATGTGACTCAACTGATGTGCCTTATAGACCAAAAGTCCTGAATCCTCCATCTGGCATCTATTTCGTTGAAGACAAGACAGCAAGAGTGAGGAGCAACACACCTTTTCATTAATTTGATTCACTAGTTCTGCATTTCGGTGATGGAAACTCCCAGATCATCATTCAATACTACATCTGACAGTGATCTTTACAACACCACAGCCGAGCCAAACTATGATGCTTACAATCAAAGCATAAACGACCCAGATGACTATGAACCACTCATAACTGGAGACACTGTCTATATTTCAATTATTTCTTGCCTTGAAACTCCCATGATCTGAGTGAACCATATGCATTGTGATGCATATGGTGATCCAGATTGTTTGCATGTTACTACTACACAATACAATTAATTTCTACTGGTTAATCACCATATGCATCACAATGATGTGGGCTGGTTTCACAGGTTTGTATTTCATAACATGTATAGCCGTGGAGAGATACGTTCTGCACTCTAAAAAATGCTGGATTAAAATGCTGGTATAATATGACCCAGCGGTTGGGTTTTGAACCCAACCGCTGGGTCAAAACAACCCAATAGCTGGGTTTGTCCCTTTTTAACCCAGCGCTGGGTTATATTTAACCCAGCATTTTTTAGAGTGTGATCGCTCATCCTGTTTGGCACAGGTCTCATCGCTCACTCAAATGTCTTGTGTATACATCACTGACCGGTTGGCTTATACCTTTTATTGTTATTTCAGTTTGCTTATTGATAAATGCCCTGATATACTGTATATAATGCCCTTCATCCCCTACCCAGTCATCATTCTGTGTTTTGTAGGTTCATGCAGGTCTCTCTCTCACTCCTCTAAAGAAGCGGATAGTTCTGGCTCCTCTGTTCTTTGTGGTGATCAGTTACACCTTTCTAATCCTCCCCTTGCAAATTAGTCTTTTTGTGTTTGTAAAATTGGGCAAATACAGACTTGATCTAATTCCCACTTGGGCTAAGTTTACTGTTGTTCTTTATGTGTTAAACCCACTTGTGGACTGTTTGCTGTATGTGTTCATGAGAAGTGACGCTGAGAACATCATCAGGATGCCTCACTGCTGCTCCAGACTGAAGAGAGTCCGGACTGAAACGGGACAGACCACATCTACTGATGTACAGCGTGATCATGTGTGAGAGATACACACCAGACTGCTGATGACAGCGATTCATTTATGACTTTTCAATAATAGTTCTCAAATAACTCATTACAGCATGTTTAACTGGATGGAATGTACATGACTTCAGTTTTCAACTTGTAATGGGATTCAATAAATCAAATGATGCATGTCCTGTATTGTTGTGCTTTATGTGTGTATGTGACTTATTGATAAACTACTTTTTGTAATGGAATTATTTGTCAGTATTTTTGTGATACTTGTACTTGGAAATGATCTAGTCATATTCATCTTTAGAAAGTTTGTGAAATGCTATTGTCACATTTTACTAAGAGAGAAAAAGAAAACATCAATTTATTCTCCCAGACTCCTTCAGTAAGTCAATTTTATGGAGTTTTATAAGGAATGTATCAGTTATCAACAGATATTACACTGAAAAAAAAACATGCTTGTGAAATGCTATTGTCACATTTTACTAAGAGAGAAAAAGAAAACATCAATTTATTCTCCCAGACTCCTTCAGTAAGTGTCAATTTTATGGAGTTTTATAAGGAATGTATCAGTTATCAACAGATATTACACTGAAAAAAAAACATGCAAAAAAAATATGTGGCTAAACTTGATTAAACTGTGAACAATAGTTGTTAACTAAACTTTGCGTATAGCAGAAACCTAGTGAAACTAATTAAGATCTGATGAAATTAAACACCAAAATAACTGATATCTTTCAGGTTAACTTCAAAATAGCAGTAGCACACATTAGCATGCCAAATGTAACTTTATTTTTACTATATGAAGTGTAATTATTAAAAGAACACGATTCACAGAGTAAACAGGGTCAATTCTGACTTCATGCTACTTGGTCTACAACAAAAGCACAAAACACAACAGGTTCAAAGCCAGTAAATGAACTGTACCAGACATAGACTTCAGTCAGAATTTCAGTACAGTCATCTGTGCACATTACATTTGGATAGGAGAAAGTATTGTTCAACATGATGGTCTTGAAATAAAGATAAGCTGATTTGTCTGCGAGGTAAATTATTAATAAACTAAAAATGGGAACAAAATAAAAAAATATAGGCAGAAACAATTAGTAATAATGCACTTTTGTTTTCCATTTAATACCATCTTCTTGTTGATGAATAAAGTTGTGGCAACTGCAGCAACAAATTTGTGGTTCTTAATGGACAAAACTGGTCTCAGCTCTCATTTACTATTAACATGATAAAAGGGGTTTATTGTAAAGCATTAGCTAGTTTTACTGGACGACACCAAACCCTGTATAATGTGAGGAACCTTCCCAAATTTCACGTGTCAGTTCAGCTTCATTATAAATCAGGTTTTCCAGCCAGCAGCAATGTACAGTTATCAGGACCTGTGCAAGTGAAGGTAGGATTGTGTTTATTGATGCAGCTGAATAGACTTTGCATGATCTGAGTTCTAGCTAAAGTCCTTTTTTGTGTTCAGATAGTAATATTTAATGGATATCTTCTAAAATGTTTTATGTGTGATTCTATATATATATTCTTATCTTGAGATGTTACTTAGCATTACAATTCTATTACCAAAAAAATATATATATATTTTGTAATGGAATTAAAAATATGCTGAAGAAGAAAAATGTTATGCTCCTGGTAGATGTGTCCATTTTATGAGCAAATTTAGACATTTACAATGGTCAATATTATGAACTCTCTGAAGGTTGAATGCCGTGACTGACTAATCAGAGTTTCAGATCATTGCATTATGACTCGATTTCACTATTATCTTAGAATTAGAATGATTATTAAAACTTCATTATTAAACTTTATAGAAATCTACATGAATCCAAGAGAAAATGTAGCCTATCCATTTTCCCATGGTTTGTCTGCTAAGAACTAACATTAACATACTGATACATTTTAACTATTGAACAAAATAGCATGATTCCTGATATATTTTTGAAGAAAATCATTTTCATTCATTAAAGGAAGCACAAATGATTCTTCCATAAACAGCAGATAAATATATCTTTCTGTTCTTCATTTTATATCCATCATTGTGCTACTAAACATGTGTCACCTGTGGCATCGTATTAGTGGTTTTAAATGGATAAAATTGAACATTTGCTATATTACTGAACAACACCCAGCTGTTTACAGCGCAGTCAGATTCTAAAAGAAGGGCTTGATCCAGCAACAACAAGACAGATGAATGAAGGTAGGATTGTGTTTCTGTACTTCTACAAAACCTTTGCATGACTAGTAATTTGCTATCCAAACTTGTCCCTGGGTCCCAACTGTTCATGTTGTTCTGTATAATAATCTCCTTATAAATTATATGATTTATACAAATACTAAAATGTGTTTAGCTTTTTTTTAGATGAAGAGGAACACTAGCGAATAAGAAGGACTTATTCAACTGCAGTAAGCCACAAACAAGCTGCATTTTGAATAAAATATAAGGAATTATTTTAGGATAATGTCTAAACGTGTTGACTTGATAATAATGTGACTCAACTGATGTGTCTTTTAGACCAAAAGTCCCGAATCCTCCATCTGGCATCTTTTTCATTGAAGACAAGAAAGCAAGAATGAGGAGCAACAATCCTTTTAATTCGTTTTATCCACTAGTCCTGCATTTCGGTGATGGAAACTCCCAGATCTTCATTCAATACTACATCTAACAGTGATCTTTACAACACCACAGCCGAGTCAAACTATGATGTTAACCATGGATGGATGAAAACATGATTACTATTACACTGTACTCACTGTCCCTGCTTCAATCATTGCTAGCATTGAAATTCCCATGATCTGTTTGGCTATTTATGCTGTTTATTCTCTCATCAAATCTAAACAAGCTGCTCCAGTTTTTGTCATAAATCTACTCATTTCAGATCTCATACAGATTGTTTGCACATTGCTACTTAACGTTAGCTTGCTCTTTAGTTACATAATAATTTGGGCTGGTTCCATAGGTTTGCATTTCATGACATGTATAGCCGTAGAGAGATACGTTCTGATCGCTCATCCTGTTTGGCACAGGTACCATCGCTCAGTCAAATATTTTGTGTGTACTTCACTGACCGGTTGGCTTATACCTTTTATTGTTTGTCTAGTTTGCTTTTTCATAAATGAACTGGTGTATATAATGCCCTTCATCCCCTATCTAGTGATCATTGTGTGTTTTGTAGGCACATGCAGGTCTCTCTCTCACTCAATTTCTCTCACTCCTGTAAAGCAGCAGTTAGCTCTGGCTCCTCTGTTCTTTGTGGTGATCAGTTACACCTTTCTAATCCTCCCCTTCCAAATTTGTAGTTTTCTGCTTCTACATGAGCACGAATTCCCGTTTAGTCTGTTTATCTTTACTTTTATTCTTTATCTGTTAAACCCACTTGTGGACTGTTTGCTGTATGTGTTCATGAGGAGCGACATTGAGAAAATCATCAGGATGCCTTACTGCTGCTCCAGACTGAAGAGAGTCCAGACTGAAACGGGACAGACCACATCTACTGATGTACAGCGTGATCATGTGTGAGAGATTCACACCAGACTGCTGATGTCAGCGATTCATTCATGAATGTACAGTAAAAGTTCTCAAATAACTAATTACAGCATGTTTAACTGGATGAAATGTGCATGACTCGAGTGTTCATCTTGTAATGAGATTCAATGAAACAAATGATGCATGTCCTGTGCTGTTGTGCTTTATGTCTGTACATAAACTACTATTTGTAATGGAATTATATGTCAGTATGGTTATAATACTGTACTTGTACTTGGAAATGATCTGGTCATATTGATCTTTAGAAAGTTGTGAAATGCTATTGTCACATTTTACTGAGAGAGAAATAAAGAAAGCCACAATTTCTTCTCCCAGACTTCTTCAGTAACTGTCAATTATAGAGGTGCAAGATATCTCAGGATTATATCGGTTGATAAACTATTCTGAGATCTTTCCATCAATATATATGTCAGCACATTTACCTGGTTGGAGTCCTTGAACTAAAATTTAGATATTTCTAAACAGATTAAACAGATCTGAAATATTAAAATAAAATGAAAATAAATTGTATTTTAATAATAATAATAAATAACATTATGATCCTGATAGATACAGTATTTTTGATTTATGAGCCAATTTAGACTGCTGTGACTGACTAACCAGAATTTCAAAGCATTGCATTAAGGCCCGATTTCACAATACTCATAAAAATAGAATGATTTTTATTAAAACTTTATAGTTACAGTTATTGTCCTTTGTGGATTCTGCATATGAGAGCTGCTGCGGGTATAGCCAAGAAATCTACATAAATCCAGAGAAAATCTATCCATTTTTCCATGGTTTGTCTCCTACTAATATTAAATACTGATACATGTTAAGTAATGGAACAAAATAGCATGATTCCTGATACATTTATAG